GCAGTCATAGAGCTCGGTTTTTGGCTGATTTTTATCTGTCTGGTTGTACCCACGGGTACAGCTTGAAATATATTAGTCTTCTTAATACAGCAAACATCCGCTTGATTTATTATTTTGTTAGTACTTGCAGACATATTAGAGGCACTCCTTAGCGAAAGAAACCATGTCTTTCCGATTAAACTCCAACGATGATTTGCTATTTCAATGAACTAGACATTGATCAATACAAGTTAATTAGAAGCTTGAAGCATGGTGTAACTCAATCCTAGTTAAACCTCAAAGCCTTTGCTGTATCCATTACATGTTCCGCCACTTTTTTCATTGGTGGAATAAATTTGCATGCACTGCTGTTCACTGTTAGGGTGGTAGAAGGCAAATGTGTCAGTTGCATACCTATGTATATACCGATGCATCTACTTTTGTGCTGGGATTGATATCCCTCATCACATCGTGAGTGCTGAGCGGCATTAGCACATCTCATTCACAAAATGCTGAAGACATTCTATGTTGACACGACTGGGACAATGGTACTCAAACAAGATGCCACCGAATACATAGGGGGTAAGTAACAGCCACAGATTGAATAACTTTTGACTTGTTTTTTCATCCCAAGTAACTCAGGTGGGGCCCTCTACTTTGATCGAGGGCTCTCTCCGTTTGGTCTCATTTGTGGCTGACTTTTCACTCCCATCGAGACTTGTATTGTTAACCTGCCCGTGCACTCTTGATTGCACGGGGTATTAATTTACAGTCTTGAATAATTCCCCTTTGCTCCCAGGGTCCTGTGCTTTGGCCGGGGCATCATAGGTCAGCCTGTCGAGGCACTACCAATCGTTTAGGGGCCCGCCACGTGGGCCCACCACGTGGGCCCACCACGTGAGTTTTTTTTGCTTGCTCTGAGGACCATTTACTTGTTGTTGGTCTGCTGCGGTACCCATGACCGCTCAGGTTCCGTCCCTATTGGCCTTGGTGCCTTCGCCTTTGAGCAGCAGTCGAATACGCGCCAATAAATTTTTACACGCAATTGCCGGACGTAATTCGACACGCCTCCGCCGTCGTATGCGTCATTTCCTCTGGCTCTTCAGTGTGTCACGCTCATTTGCATTTACGGCCAACCTTCGCGGGATATTATATACGGCCAACCTACAGGGATATCTTACATATCTCTGTAGGGTGTGGACTCCCTCCCCGTAGCATTAGAAACTACGGTGATATCCGATATGAAAATCCCTACTTGGAATTCATTCCGCTTAGAAGTGAACCGAGTTGGCATCATCACGTCGCACCGGTGGACCATGAAACCGCCTATCTAACAGCGGCCGCCGTTAAGATTCGAACCAAGGCTCACCGAGTGTGAGACCAGAACTCTAACCATTCATCGACTGGAGACGCAGAGCCGGGGGCATACGGCATCACATTTTGCATACGGTACCATCATATGACACATTATATGAGAGGTAACGGCTAGTTACATCATGGGAGGTACATTGTGCAGCATTTTTTGGTGTTGGTGGCATATTACGACTCTGTTTGTGTCGTTTTAGAGATATGTCATGTATCCCATCGTTCGTGAGCCTCTGGAATGCGAACATTTTAATGTCACAAATTGCCACTTGGTGAAAAACTGTATATATGCAATGCACATATTTGTGCTAAATTTCAAGGTGGTCGATGAAGCCTCCCATCCATTTAGCTGACATGCAATGTATATGTGTTTACACGTGCGAGGCTGTCATTTTCAAAGTTTGAATGCCTCTGGAAGGCGAACGTTTGAACGTCATGCTATAAAATTTGGTGGCTAGGTTGAACCATATACGGCGATTACTTATGGCGAACTTCAAAGCAATCAGACGAGGCCGCGAATGTGTGAAAACCGACATCGAATGTGACATTTTTGATTTGTACGTCACATTTTGCATACCACACTGCCATATGACACATCATATGAAAGGCAACGGCTAATTACATCATAGGAGATGCATTTTTCGGCATTTCTTGGTATTGGTGACATATTGCGACGCGGGATGTGTCGTTTTAGAGATAAATCATATATTATATTGTTTGAGAGCCTCTGGAATGCGTTGATTCAAATCTCATAAATTGCCACCTTGTGAAAAACTGTGTACGTACATGGCACACATTTTTGCTTAATTTCAATGTGATCAAAGGAGTGTCTCGTGCATTTAGTTAACATACAATGTGTATATGTTAACACGTGCGAGGCTGTCATTTTCAAAGTTATAATGTCTCTGGAAGGTGGACGTTTGAATGACATACTATAGGATTTGGTGGCTAGGTTTAACCATGTGAGGTGATTATTCGTGACGAATTTCAAAGCAATCAGAGGAGTCCGCGAATGTCTGAAAACCGACATCGAATGTGCCATTTCTGATTTGGACGTCACATTTTCATGCCGTACCGTCATATGACACATTATATGGAAGGCAACGGCTAATTGCATCATAGTTGATGCATTGTCCGGCATTCCTTGGTCTTGGGTGGCATATTACGACGCTGTTTGTTTCTTTTTAGAGATAGAGATGGTGTGTGTGCACATATGTATACATGTACATATATTAAAGTACCTTCCGCTAGTTAATTAGGCATTGTAAAAAAAACACTGTACTGCAAACCACTTCCCGGAGACAGCTCACATGATGCAGCTTCCAGGGTGTCTTGGTTGCACGCAAAGACGGTTGGTGTCAACCGTCAGTCGGGGTTTGAGTTGGTCGTTGGTTGGTGGCTATTCCAGCACGGCCGTAACAGCCGTACCTTCCTCAAAACTGCACGCTCGATGCTTGTATTTAAACTTTTCTGCAAACACGTAAGTGACAAAATCGTGCATTCTTTGATGACGCTTGTAACAGTTCATCTACCGCCATAAAGTCTCAATGTGGCGGACGGGAGTGCGGCCGGCCGCGGCGGCGTTCGTGCTCTAGCCGACAGAAACCGGCGGTAATGACCTGTATAGCGCATGCAGCTTCCCTCAACAACGCCCAACATGTCCGCATCTTGTGGAGCAGGGCTTCCTTAAAAACGTCGTCCCCGACGTCGCGTGCCTCCTCCCTCCTCGCAGCTCGCTGCTCGCCCCCGTTCTTACTCCTCTAATGAGGCCACCATGCTGTCCTGTCCATGCTGTCCCGACGGGAATAGGCGGCTTAGTGTCGGGCCGGGCTCTGCTGGGTGGCCGAGGGTTTAGACCATTGTCGCTGACTCGATGCCACTCACATCGTACAGCTTTTCTTTTTCCTACTGGTTGTCGGATTTTCCGCTGCGTGCGCGCCCCGTTGAAATATCTCGCTATGGGCGCCAAATAACCCTGGCCGTCCGCCGCCCATAAGCCCCATTCATCATCAAACTATCGTGGCCTTCCAACAGACTGGATGGACTGTAGCAACCAGCCGCAGCTGGCATCTGATTCGTGGCATCACCGCGTGGCAGCGGTTACCTCGCCCGCTGGCAGTACTAAGGTTGGCCGCCAGGCGGCGGCGGGTCACTGCCGGGGAAGGGCTGCTCGTGCATGGGGAATTGTCAGTAATTGGTGTAGCCGCCCCCCCCCCCCCAAAAAAAAGAGTGGCCTCGCTGCAAATCCGTTGGAAGTGTCGCTCCCGGACTGGTGAGCGAGGTCCGTGCCAGCCCAGTGACCGCTGGGCTAGCCCGCTGATGGCTGGCCCGGAGTGCTGGTAGTGAGGAGCGAGAGTGGGCGTGGTGTTGACCGTACGAACACCATTGGTCGCGATGGGCGATGCGCTCGATATTTAAGTTACCCAGCGCCATGTTATGGTTCTGGCAATGTGTTTATGAAGGGCACGGCATGGTTGCATGTTATAACGTTGCTAGGTGTTGATGGTATTGCTGAGTCAGCCTGTGATAACACTCTTAGGCTAACTGAAGCGGATTTCGTAGACATCACGCAGCAGCCCGCCGGCGTCTGGCAGCCTGTCACCGAGCTTCATCTCCGTCACGTGACCCACACCTCCGTCACGTGACCTGTATACCTGCCGTGGCATGCAGCTGGGTATCGCCTGCATTTCCACTCTGTCAGCTGGACCTCCATCACGTGACCCGCATCTCCGTCACGTGGACTGCAGCATCTCGGTCATGTGTTGCTCCTCGCACGTGGCGCTCCCGTGTGGTGGTGCTCTGCTTATGACCGTTATGGGGCAATGTTTGTCCTGGGGGCAGCGTCTTCGGTACGCTGTTTTGATCTGACGTCTGAACAGTCCGCTGGCGTTTCGTAACCGTGTCGAACCGAGCGGCGCTGATAAACGTGTCGAACCGAGCGAGCGGTGTTGGTAACCGTGTCGAACCAAGCGGTGCTCGTAACCATGTCGAACCAAGCGGTGTTACCTTGTCGGACCAGCCGGTGCTGGTAACCGTGTCGAAGCAGGCGGTGCTGTGCTCGAGCACTTCGTGACGCGCGGTTGTTTTACGTTGAAAATGTCCACACATCGCATGGCCACGCCACTTCCAATGAAGTTATTATTTTGTCGTATGTGTAGCTTGTCAGACGTGTGTTCTTCGTGGCATTTGTCCTGCTTTGTAATGCCAGCGTACGTTGCATCATGCTAATAAATAGACATGTTGCATTTTAGACACGTATGCGTTCCGACGTGTTGACAGTGGAACCGAATGGCGATTTCGGACTGCACTCTGTGATGCACTAGAAGACTGGCGGTCGCGCCGGCGAGTCTTTCCAATAGGGATGGGACGCCGATATAGTGGTTAACGCGTGTGCAATAGCCGCGGCGCGTCTGGGAAACCAGAGATACGGGGTTCGATTCCCCGCGGTACCCGCGCATCGCATCAGGGTGAGAGGCAGGCGACGCCATATAGCCTCAGCATCTGAGTGCGTCGTAGAGCCCCAACGACACGCAGAAAATGTAGTTTCTAGAAGCAGTCGGGTTATCGAATACGAATCGCTGCTCCAACTAAAACGGGGAAAAAGGCCAGCGTGGTTACCACGGAGGACGCATCTGCCAAAGCAATCAACAAGTTCGGTCGTGTATTGCTATCCCTAAACTAAGCTGCGCGTTTCAATGGCGGCGATCGGGCTGGTCCGTCATGCGACGTCAGTGGTGGTCCAGATACAGCTCGGTTTCTGCACATTTGCACGCCTACACACACACACACACGGACAAGACGGGTGCAGACGGCCAACACCTGTCGACGGAGGCCCGCAGTTGGATACGGCCGGTGGAATTAATTAGCTGAATCGATCCTTCCATCTTTTTATCTGATTTGTACTGAGTCGCGGGCAATGTTAAGTGCAAGCTTCTATAAAAATCGTCCGTTTGGACTACCAATGTCGGCCAGGGGCTCGTAATCATTCAGTCAGCTGTAACTAAGGTCGCTCATTAACTTCTGTCACGCTCAAATCGCGTAAATTATCACTGAGTGACACTTCCTTAGCTCTAGTCATGGGCGCAAAATGGCCGACGTCCACGCGCCCTTTAACTTCATAAAATGGCCTGCCCTGTCCCCAAGTAAACCTGAAATAAATTGGGCTGAGCGTTTCCTTCGTGATCCAAGTCAAAGACTACCCGAATGCCTGAGCGACGGACGACATCGCCCTCTGACCCCTGACTTTTAACCTTCCTCCCGCACGCAGGCAGGGCGCGCGACACGAGCAGAGGTCGGCGGGGTCGCCACTCCGGCTTGACGCAGACCGGCTCGGTCCTGACCCTCTGGCGCGGCACTGCGTCGGCCAGCGCGGTCCCCGTCTCCCTTTCCCTCGGTCCGTGCAGCACTACAGCCTCTCCGTGTGGTGCTGCCGACCTCGGTTCGGTGCTCCTGCAGTCTGGGTGGTGTAGTCCCGCAGCCTCCCCCGGTCTCAGTACGCATACGGTCCCCCAGGGCGTTGTCATTCCGCCGTCTCCCTCCAGCGCAATCAGCCTCGGGTCCTGCTCAGCCTGCGCAGCCTCCCTGCGGTGGCCCTACGTGGGGACGACGCGGGCGCCGTCAGCCGGCCGGCACACATAGAAGGTGGCCGAGCCCGAGAAGCCCTCACGCATCCGCGCTATGCAGGCCTCCACCGACGTCTGCTTCAGCTGAAACATGGAGAGGCAGAGATCGAGGCAAAAGATGGCTGGCACCCAGTGAGGCAGTTAGGCACCCAGTGAGACAGTGAGGCACCCAGTGAGGCAGGCAACACGGGGCGAGAACCAGGAAAGGCACACTTCAAATTTGAGGCGTAACTTTTGCGGCACGGAAAGAGATCAGAGTTCGAAGACTAGCGGTCTTCCCGGCGAGTATTCCGAAGAAAGTCCCGGTTTCCAGCACTTTCTTTGGTATGTAAGCAAACACCGCCCTGTCCAATCACTTGACTTCAATGGATGACGTCACTTGACATCCGTCTCTGCTTGAGGCATGCACAAAGCTTAACAAAGAACCCAGTGTGTTGGGACATCCTTGCGCGCCCCTGGTGGGCTGGCCGGGCTGGCGGGACATTGGGTTTGCGAAACTCGGCAAAGATACACGGACATGTGGACACAAGGGGCTTATGCGGGACAAGTTTGAGCTATCGCACGGCCTGCTGCAGCTTAGGCCTTCTCATCACGAGCCCTACAGGGGGCCGGTGAAGGCGCGGCAAGACCGGCGCTCGCTCAGGCAACCAATCAGGCCGCTCCGACAAGCTCTGCTTGGACGCGTGGCCGTCCTCTGGCGGCCGCTGCTTGCTTCACTGACCAGGGTGACGGTGCAGCCGCCGAAGCCGCCGCCGGTCATGCGCGACCCGAACACGCCGTCCACCGAGGAGGCCAGCTCCTGCAGCTGGTCCAGCTCTGCACACGACACCTCGAAGTCGTCCCTGGCAGGATGGGAGGGTCGCTGGCTGTAGGCCACACACTGACGCTGTTGCGCCCGCCAACGTCCAGCTAGCCTCGGCACAAGCCTCTGACATCTCATGTGAGAGGCATGTCTTTCACATGCCCCTTACGTGCTTTACATATCCTCGGCATGATCTCTGACGCAGGGGCAGAATCCCGATTTGAAAAATAACGTCTGCCTCAACCTGGCGTGCGGGTTTCCTTGCGAAGGCACAAACACCGCTTCCTCGACGTGTTGGGTGTTCCTTAGCCGTTCCATTAGTGGGTGCGGCAATCACATGAGCGAGGCGTGGCTCTCACCTGAGCGAGGCGCAGCTCTTACCTGAGCGAGATGCTACTCTCACCTGAGCGAGATGCTACTCTCACCTGAGCGAGGCGTGGCTCTCACCTGAGCGAGGCGCAGCTCTCACCTGAGCGAGGTGCCCCTCTCACCTGAGCGAGGCGCAGCTCTCACCTGAGCGAGGCGTGGCTCTCGTTCATCAGCCGGCCAGCGGTGGCGTAGTCTCCGTCAGCGAAGGCCGTGGCCGCCGCCTCGGTGCGCGCGATCTCCGTCACCACGTGCCGGGCTCGCCGGAAGTCCTCCTCAGAGATGTCTGCCTTCCGCTCTGCAGGTTATGGTGGCCGTTACAGCCACGGGCGCGACCACTAGCGGAGGGCTCGGTGGAGGGACATGCTCATCTCAATTTAACGAGGCGTAAGCGTTTCATCTTCGAGCCTTCGCCGTCATATCAATGTTACCCGCAGATTTATCAAACAAAACAGTGAACTGACAGCCCCAGGCCAGAACTTGGTCCCCCTATATCCTATGGTTTAGGTTTAGGGACGACACAGACAACTGGGCACGGAAAAGCCAACAGGAAATGAATATCTCAAGTCGAATAGATAAATTGGAGTTTTTCGGTTACCCCTGCAAATATCTTGCAGAATCTACGAAAGTTCATATTTTCTTCCCAAATGCCGTTAAAATGAGCTTCCTTCCCTGGAAGCTGCAGCTGTAAACCAGTGGATGGGCAGAGCGGTCACGACAAGAAAGGTGGTTGAAACCCGCGGGGTTGTAGAAGCCCTTCACAGTCTGGAACGTACAAACCCTTTCTTGAAGTCATTTTTTCTTACATCATAAACTTATTGCCAGACTTTCTCGGAAAGGGGAGGAAGTTCCTCGTTTCTCCTCCCGACCTCTACGACTTCTTTAACACGCGCTCCGGTGGGGGTGAAATTGACCCCGAAGGTCTTCAGGAATGGTTTCCGAACGGCGCGACGTAGCCTCGCCAACTTCTGCACAGCTGTCGAGAATCGAATACCGGATCTGTTCATATGAAAATTACATGTACCATGTGAGGTTGCTGACCTGTGGCATTTCAAAGTCAGGTCATGACTGCCAGCGAAGGGTATATCCAGGGAGTCGTTTAATGTGATGCAACAACGGAGTGTTAGATGAAGCCTTACCTATCTGCAATAGTTTCTTAAGTAATAAACCAATTCAATTTCGAACTGCAACCAATCTCAGTGACCTAATGGAACCAATTCCAACCAGTTCCATGGTCAGGCACGGAAATCACACCAAGGTCAAGATTAACCCGCGTTTTTACTTGAGAGCCTGGTTTTATGAGGAAGTTTCTGGTGCTCATTTCAAATATAGTAATGACAGAGACCGCATTAGAAATGTTCCATGGACTTACTTAAGGTCAGGGTAGATCACCAATCCAAAATGACCTACACCTACAGGCAAATCTACCCCGTGAATTTGGCCTCTCCATCTTCCTTAGTTTTCAAGATCTTAGCGGGGCAAATTTGACCCCACCCGAGCGAAGGGTGTTCCACCGGCCACCCGGACGCGTGTACACACCGGGGAGTAATACATGAACGGTGCAAAACGGCGAAACCGTGGGAAGTACGATGGGGGCGCAGACGCAAGCGAAAAAGACCAGAATTTCGATAGCACATCAAGGCGGAAAATGAGGAGCGGACATCGGCACAGCCATCCCAGGCCTGTACCAGTGTGGTATCGCTTTGGCCGGGCAGAACCATACCGTCGAGCAGCGCCATCGAAGCATCTCTCAGTGCCTTGACCCCGAGCAGACGGGCCGTCTCGTGGCAGGCGCGCCGCCGGCTCGGGTACTCGGACCCGGTCAGCGCGTGACGCACGTTCGAGTTGGTGATCAGCACCGATATCTGGTGGTCGGCCAGCGGAACCAGCGTTGACTCGAGCGACCTGTAGGCGGCGCCATCGGCGGGGGTTACGCGTCAATGAAAAGTTTGAACACAGTGAGGCAGGGGAAAAGTTTTCTCCATTTGAAGGAAAATATTAACAAAAAATATATGCTAGCCATTGGCTAAGCAAAAGGCAAAACACTTCAAAATGGTCTACGACAGACCTCAAAATCAGCTGACTGGCGGCCTGTTCCTGACGTACCACTCTCTGCCTCCCCCCCCCCCCCCCCCCC